AACTTCTGCTACTACTTGGTATTGACTGTTTCAGTATCTGATGGTTCAGTACATGTGATGCTTCTTGCAGAACACACTGATCTGCTGCAGCTCCTTTTGAGGTCTACTCCTTCATTAACCCTGCCTGTAAAATTGCATCCTTATTCCACTGGCCCAGTGGTGTTACATGTGGAATCTGTTTCTGCCATTCCTGTGGTACAGTGCAAATCCTGCCTCTTGATAATAGAAGTGCAAAGCCCAGGTACTTTGTTGTATTGCAGGGAATGTTGATTCTCTGCAGTTTTGTGTAACAGCATCTTTGCTTCTGTTGTGCTAAGTGAATTCTATAGATTTAAGTGTTTTTTCTATGCATACAGAGCAGCGGAGGGGTGAGTTGCTTGCTGCACCATTCCAAACAAGCCTTTGCACACAGCCTAGGCAATAGCAGGTATGCTTTAGGGGCCAGGCAGTCACAGGTCAATTTAACTAAACATTTATTTCGTCTTAAGTAATGGAGAAAGTTTTAGGGTCCTGTAATGGATAACTCGGCCTCACGTCTTCCAATCATTCTTTCATATATTCATGCATATTGTTTCATTTCCTAGCTTTTGTTGTACATGGAGATAATAAATAGAAATCAAAATAGAACATTAATAAAAACAACATATGACAAAATTCTGCAAATCTCTTGTGTTACAGAAATTTCTTGTGAATTTCTGTAAGTGATGCCTCAGAATTTTTGCCTTTAGCTCAGCCAAGCTGGACTTTGTCCAGGTTTGTGCAGGCACATGCCAGGCATTGCCCAGAGGAGCTGTGGCTGCCCTGGATCCCTGGCAGTGCCCAGGGCCAGGCTGGACACTGGGGCTGGAGCACCTGGGGCAGGGGAAGCTGGAGGAGCTTTAAGATCCAACTCCCAGTGTTCTATGATTAACTACTCACAGCATTGGAGCACTTTCTCATTTCATGCTCTTTCAGTTAAACCTTGCCATTGCCAGGTGTGCTCACTGCAGCAGGCCAGCTGTGTCTGGTCACTGGAAATGGATTGTGCACGTTTTCTTTGAAACTAAACAACATAAAATGCCAGCTGACTCACTTGATCCAAGGTGACATGGTGACTTCATTTCCTGCCCTTTTGGTGTCAACTTACCAACTTCTAAAGCATCTACTTCCTTTTTTTATCTGTTTGTGTTTTCTAAGTGTTCCTAAAGTTTATTTTCTCTTGGATTTTCTAAGAATATTCCAAGAATGGAGGGGAAGTGGAGTTCCCTTGTGATGTGCAGATCCTCAGAAAGCAGATGAGCTATTCCCTACCCCTGCAGTGTGACAGAGCAGTCCATGAAGCTGATTGTTTTAAGTGTTACTCAAATTGATCTTCCTAATTTGGATTAAGTTTTACTTAATGAGGAAGTAATGAGATTATCATAGACAAAAAGGACTGTGTCTCTTTTGGGAACATACCATTTCTGAGACTTGACTTTATTTCAAAGAGAGCTATAATTCTTTCTTTAGGGGAATGTAAATTTAAATTACAATCAAACAATGGGACTTTTCTAGAAACTGTTTTGGCACCGAATGATAGACGTATTATGCTGTGTATTTTCTTCCTGTGGAAAGGATTGACTGCTACAAGATTAACACATTCTGGATGGGTGCCATTTTCAGATAGTTAGTTCAACTGGAAGAGAAAGGATCTGATTAAGGGATCAAGCTCATTATTTGTTTGTTATTTGTACTCCACACCCTACAATGGGAGTGAATCTTTGCCTCTTTTCCTTAACAGTAATTAGGATCAGAGGGTTCAACAACTGCATATTAATATGCTTTTTTTTAAATGAAAGCATGCAGTAACTAAGTGATTAACATTTCCATTAAACTTTAAAATATTTTTAAAAGCCTTCCACAAAATGTTCAAGACATAGCCAGATATCCAAAGGAGAGCACTGAGAATAAGGGACTCCTGAATTTGGGGATTTTTCCGAGTTTGCATTTTCTAGGAACCTCTGGTGGAATGTACAATCCCAGCTGCTGCTGGTGCTGCTCTCAGCGGGTCTGTGTTCAGCTCTGGCTCTCGGGTGGTGCAGCCCCAGCAGTGCTTCAGGGCTGTGGCACTGTGGCCCCTGCTGTCACAGGGTTCTGCAGCCTTCCTTCACACAAACCCCAGGGGCACCTGCTGCACTGCCCCTGGAGATGCTGCTGAGTTCTCTTTTGTGAAGACTTGATTCATACTATTGATTTTTGCATTTAATAACGTGAGTGATTTAAAACATGCACAAGAAATTGTGTTTCAAAAGGCATGTCTGGCTCGCTAAACACTGTGCCTCCCTGCCAGAAATCCATCTGTCCTGCACTTGATGAGCAGCACTTTAGCTGCAAGGGAAAATGGCACTGGTGACCCAGATCTGCAAAGGTTTGTGTATGCAAACAACTTGTTGGATGGAGACAGTGGAATTAGGCTCTTTTAAATCACTGGTTAAGCTCACTGGGAGCACTGACTTGTGGGGCTGGGCCTGGCTCATCCCCAGGAGCAGAATGTGGCAGGCACCAGGCTTGGCTTCTTCCAGGAATGCTGGCTGACGCTGGGGAGTTTAATTTCTATTTAAATTAAAGGAAGGAGAGTCTTGCCTCAACATTGGCTCTTTGCATATGTAAGAATAAACATAGGTCACATACCTCAGACACCAGCAAGGGCTCACATTAAGAATGTACTGAAGAGTTTGGTTGAATTGGACATGAAGTCTTTTAGGAGACTATGTTTTTATTGCCTAAAAGAGTTCAGTGAATAGTGAAATACTAAATTGTCAAAGGAGCAGAAGAAGAGATTTGGTAAACCTTGTGCTTTTTACTGCTTCTAAAAGATTTAGCTGTGGTTGGCTGTAGGCAGAGCTGACTTGGCATTCTTGGGGGCAGATTTCTATGTACAGGGACTTCTGCCTGGCGGCTGGTTGGTCTTGTGCACTTTTTCTTTTTAAGATGCATCAAGACTTCCAGACTAGTGCCTGCAATGAAGTTTGAGCAAAGTATTGGAATTTGGGCTTAGATGGACTTCTACAGTATTTGAGAGGTTTCTAACTATATCTGCATTAAAGCAGAAATAAATATAACTAGCAGTGCTTTTATCATTTTGATTAGTATGTTTATTAGTTACTGAAGATAAAATGCAGATCTATATGGATCTTGTCCTTTTCCAGAACCATCTTAGCATTCACTTTCAGTGTTTTAGTTAGTTCATAATGTTGAATAACAGAAAATAATGCCTGTGAAAGGCTGAGATCAAATACAAACATATGACATCATTGTGGAAGGGAGAAATGGGTTGGCCAGAAGGGATTAAGGACTTGGTTCATCAAATACAGTAGCCCTAAATTTACAGAAAATGGCCAGTAAATTTTTTGCATGAGTTCTGTTCTCGAGATGTATTCCTGGTTTCTTGTGAAAGGAGGTGAAGCTAAGGTTAATATGTGTGAAGTTTTGCTCAAATACTGACATGAAATCAGAAACATGTCAGTAGAAAGAAGATATTAACAATTTGCCAAATGAACAAATAAATAAATAAATAACCCAGAGGGGTAGCTCTGCTGCTGCTAATCTTTCTGGTATCCATAGTTATTTTTCAAAAAGGACAGCGTGTCTTGTGTTAGAAGCTTGTCATTTAAAGCTGGCCAGATGGGCCCAGATTAGGATGATGGTTCCCCAAATGTGTAATGCAGGAGAGTGACGCTGATGCGGCAGCTGCACAGGGAACAGTAATAAAAGGTTTTAATAGAGGGAAGTGCCTGTGATGCATCCAATCTTCTTAGGGCTTTTGAGTACTCCCAATTTTCCATCAGTGTTATTTTTGCGCTCACTGTATGGTGTAGATGAGAGTCACTGTGGTACTCCCTCCCCAAGTTTGTCAGTAGGAGCAGCGCTCAGATGATCAGAAACCACAGAAAGCAGGCACAGGAGGACTGACTGTCAATAGCAGAGGGCTGGATGCAGAGTGTCAAACAGCTCACGGCAAAGTGTGCTGTAACCTGCCTTCAGCTGCAGTCTCACCTTTTTCTTTGGCTGACATCAATAGTTCTCTGTCAGAGCAGCCCCCTTTACATTTCTTCTGCTGGTCTGCCTTCCCACCTTCCTGTTGCGTTGTGCAATCCTTGGAATTTGTAGCGATAAACCAGTTCATCCTACTAAAACAGTGAGGAAATAACTCCACAAATGAATAAATTTTGCTGCTCTACTATTTGCTGTATTGCTGCTTGCTGTGGGGCCAGGCAACTGTCAAAGGTGTGACAAAGAGATGGAATTTTGTGCGTATGAAATTTTGGCGCAGTATGACTGGGTTTGAGGGAGGGGGTTCATGGGGAGCCTTGCTGGACATGGCCTTTCCTTTCTGGTGTGACTCAGCTGTGGGTTCAGTTCAACTGAAGCACCTCAGGTGGAACTACTGCTTTTATTTCTGTGCCAGACCTGGGATGACACCAATGCGTGCTTAATTGAAAGTAAGGGGTCTGGCACATACAAGGCATTTTTTTTACTGTGCTGTGTAACGTATTGCATGTGACACATCCCGTTTGACCCATGATGATGTGGGTGCCTGATGCGTGCTGCTCACCAGGAGCTGAGCCACTGCTGCCCAAACAACTGCCCTGGTTTCACAGGTGTTACTGCAGAGGGGTTAAAGGGACCCGGGCAGTCTCCAAAAGAAGGAAAGACTGATCTTTCCAGGCTTCATTTCTATAAAGCAAAGCACACCTCAAAACCTGATCTGACATTTGGATTGAAGGAGTCCTATTTTGAAAAGCATAAAGCAAAGAATAGATGAGCTATGTCACAGCATTACAAATTCATCAAGGAAATAGTGTTTTCTTTTCCTGGCTGCTAAATGGTATGAGGCACATGAAAGCTCTCCTAAAATGAAAGATAAACTGGAGGAATTTGTCTAATTACATTTCAAGTGAGATGTACCTCTTCTCAAAAAACAATAGATACTTTTGAAAGTGTTTTTAGATTGCATCCACAATGTTAGTATTCTCAAAACCTATGTTTGTTTCTCAACAGGTAAAAAAATACATAAAAAATAAAAATGGATGAATTGGACCATGGAGCGTTGTTTTTAGCTCATAGGATTAGTGGTGAAGGTATGTATGCTATCATGTTTAATTGTTTTCTTGACTCTTTATGAAACACTCTGCAATGAATAGCCTCATGTAGGAGCTGTTATAACACCCTGGTTATGGTTTGAGTTGGGAGGGACCTTAAAGCCCCCCCAGTGCCACCCCAGCCATGGCAGGGACACCTTCCCCTGTCCCAGGCACTCACAGCCCCAGTGTCCAGCCTGGCCCTGGGCACTGCCAGGGATCCAGGGGCAGCCCCAGCTGCTCTGGGCACCTGTGCCAGGGCCTGCCCGCCCTGCCAGGAACAGTTCCTTCTTTAGCTCCTGTGTGTACCCACCCTCCTTTCAGGCTGTCACTGCAGATCCTGGTGAAGAGCCTTTGTTTCCCATGGAAGCTCCCTTTACACACCAAGAGGCTGCAATAAAGTTTCTGTGCAGTGTCCTCTGGCCGAGCATCCCCTCCTCTGTCAGCCTGTCTTCACAGGAGAAATGTTCCAGCCATTTCCAGGGTCTCTGGGCCAGGTTTCTGTCCCCTGTGTTCTGGAACTCAGTGTTGGTCTCTGCAGAGGGGCAGAGCCCCTGCCCTGGCACCATTCATCAAATGGGTCAATAACTGAATGCCACGCTGCCTCTCCTGCAGGCCGGGCCCAGGCTGGCTTGCTGGGCTCCCTGCCAGCTCATGCCCAGTTTTTTGCCCACAGATCCCCAAGTTGCTCTCCCCAGGGCTGCTCCCATCCATTCAGTGCCCATTTCTGCCTGTCCCAGGGCAGGGGGCTTGGAAAAGCCCTTCCCAATGAGGCATCATCTGGAGAGGTGCTGTCAGCTTTGTGTGGGCATGCAGCACGTGGAAACCCTGGGAGAGGCTTGAAGGAGGACCCTGGGATGGCCCTGCAGGATTTATTTTACCTTTGCCCCTCTGTGAAACCACATGTCAGGCACAGCACTGCCAGCCACAGAGCTTAGTAGGGAATGTGAAACAAAACAGCCAATTTCACTACCGAGGAAAACTAAAGCAGAGTTTGTAAGGAAATGCCCGTCCCTGATCCCTGTAAGCCTCCTCGCTTATGTGGAATGACTGAGTATCTGTGTGCCAGGGCAAAAGTTCAGGTAGTTCATTTACAATTGTAATTGTACCTCAATTTTATACCTTCCAGAAAAAAACTACTCCTGCTGCTCAACCCATAGGTTGCAAAAAACATTGGGGCAGTTTTCCAATCAGTGCAAGAAGGATGTATTTATTGAAATTTAGGTTTATCTGTATTAGAAGTTATTACAATGCCTGTAAATGCAGTTTAAAATGAATTGATAACTAAATTCACATGTAAACTAAAGACTTGTCAGATTAACTTTTTGTAAACAAACAACTGGTTACTGTTTCTTATATAATTTTCATATTAGTGAATTAGTTTGTTTGTTTCAAATTGTCATTCACTAACTAACAATATTGGTATGAAAACTTCTAGTGTTGAAAACATTGGTTCTGATTTCTATCTATAGAGCTTTTGTTTTATGCCTTGCACTTAAATTATTTCTCAATAAATTGAAATGTCCTTGTGTGTTTTATATGATAACTAGACAATTTGGTGGTTCCTGCCAGAAATGCTCCTTGCAGCCAGAAGTACAAACCTGTTGACTACAAACATTTGTATGAACTCACTGCAGAGGCAAAAATGGCCTCTGCACAAATTCAGTTAAAGGTATGATTTTTGTTTCATTTATAATGTGAATGCTTTTGAAATTCAGTGACCTTATTTCTTTCAGCCAGAGGGGGTCAGATATGAAAGTTTATCATAGCTATACTGGGATTTGGATGTGTTAATGTCATTGTGGAGACTTTGTTTGGATCAGGGATGCAAAGTATGTGTGGATTCTACTTCCTCAAAAGACAAGAAAAATCTGTGTTTTACTGCCTTGAGGAAATTCACCCAAATTTATTACATAACCCAATGAAGAATTTGTGTGATTAAATGAGAAGGGAAGGCTGATCCAGAAAAAAAGCCAAACAAAAAGATATGAAGTGAGGCTTTCCAAAACTCAAGTGGAGGTATATCTTAAAAAGAAGATTAAAAATTTTTAATTGCCATAAAATGTAAATGTAGAGCAGACAGAAAGGTATAAATTAGTGTAGAACATCTCAAGGGCTAAAAGACAAGAGGAGCCTTATTTAATGCTAGGGAAGGGTAGGTGAATGAGAGAGAAAAAAATAGACTACAAATGATTATTATTATTATTTTGCTTCTTTAGTGCATGTAGGTATCATATAGCAACAGTTCTGGCAGATATTGGTCATGGATTGGCAATACCAAATTCTACTGAATTCATTCAAGCTTTATGTTTTCATCTTTCTTTTGTTTTTTCACCTTCTCAAGTGTTTTCCAACTGAGTAGGTAGTAAAATATGCATGGTGGAAACTCCAGAGGGACTAGTATGTGTTCCACCTACTACTTTTTGTAGGAGGTGGAACACAGTAGGTGGAACATATCTGATTCAAGTCATTCAGATTTTGAAGAGCTGGGTTCTTCTTCCTTTGAGGCAGAAGCAAAGAAACAAATGGTAAATCAGCTGCCGACTGCTTAAGAAATAAAAAGACAGCCCAACAGGGAAAAAAAGGTAATATTGCAGCAGTTATACATAAATGGCAATGCTGTTGCTGTAAAATAATTTCAAGAGCATGTTGAACTTTACATATAAAAGTACTTCAACTTTTGTTTCACTTAGTTTTAGAATTGGTTTGCAGATGTAACTATTTTCAAATTGCTTTAAATGCAGTATTCTGTTTGCTAAGTCTGATTTCATATAAGAGTTTTCATATTGTAACAGGAGAAAGAAGTAACAGTAATATGTTTCATGACATAGAGGGAACTTTTAGAGTGTGGAAATATGTAAGCAATAAAAGCAAGACATTATCTTTGATGAAGCAGGTGTTCCTGTTTTATCCAAAGTGTGAAGCAAGGTTTTTGTGAAGTCCTCCATTTGAGAGCCTCTCTAATTGGATAGATTTTGTAAAAAACTTTTTTTAGTAATGCATTTTTGAAATTTTTTCATGACATATTTTCATCTTTCATCTTCCCACCCGTAAGAAAGTATGTTTTTTGTTCTTCTGTTTATCTTTCCTCATCTTTACTTCCAGGGACAGGAATGGGACAGGAAAGAAGAAAATGGACTGATTTTTTTTTTTTTTTTTCCACTTTCTCCTCTCATTAATTGTGATTTGAAATGCAGCAAACCTATTTAATGAAAATTGGTTACATTTGACCCCATTGTTCTTTAGAAAAACACAGTTTTTAAAAAAGCTATTAGATGTTATTTTTTTATTAGGTTATCATTCTGTATTTAAAAGTTTCCATGTGAAGGCATTTGATAAAGCTGTTGAATATGTTCAAAACACAACCTTTAATTTTCCCTGCAGATTAAAAAAGCAGAGCAAGTTTCCAAAATCAGCAAAGAGCAAATGCTGCTGAAACAGCATCGTCAGGTGTGGTGGCAAGAGTATAAAAGGCTGAGTGAAAGCAGGTAAGGGCTGAGGACCCTGAATGAGTGATTGCTGAAGAGACCAGCAAACAGAGGTTTTGGGCTGGCATAATTGGCTCAAGGGACTCTGAGAACAAAAGATTATAATACCTGATCTGAAGGTATTTTTGTGTGGGGAAGGAAGGTTTGTGATGCACGCAGAGAGGGGTCTGTGACATGAGGAGCTCACCTGAGGGCAGGGAGAACAGGGAACGCTGCTCCCAGGGCTGTTCAGTTGATCTGCAGCATCTGAAGCCTGTGTCTTTGTAAGAATATAAAAATATCAAAAGTTTCCAGATGCCTTTTAGTTCCTTCAGAGGCTGTCTCTAGGCTGTGTGTTGAGGTCACACAACAGGGGACATTAACAGTGCCCTTGTGCACTACCCTGCGTACTCAACAAGAGCATTTGTGGCTCCTTTACCATCTTTGTGTCCAAGGCCTTCACTTCATACCTTCCCAGGCAAAGAATCTCCTTTTTAATGTAATTATTGGGGTATTTGAGGCTCATCGTTCTTGCAAATGTAATGAATAAGAAATTAGGTCTTTCTGCAAAATGCATGTTGATTTCCTTCAGGCAAAAAGCAGAAGAAGAAATGAAGACTTTTCTTGATGAAGAAAGCAATAAGAACAACTTTTTTTTTGATTTGAGGGAATTGGGTAAGAATTTTTTATTAATTTCTTAATTACTTTTTTATAGTCAACATTATCTTGATTGTTTGGGTTTTTTAATCCCTTCCTTGACAGGTTTAGATTTACATAGCGCATGCTGTGTAACATCTTTTGTGTGTTTGAGAAAGCTTTATGTTCTTACAGAGCAGAAACTGTGCAAGGAGTGGGACACTTATCAAACAAACGCTTTAGTTCCTGTCTGGCAGCTCAAGGAGGATCTGAAACTCAAGCTGTCTCAAGTGCAGCGCTACCTCTCAAAAGAATCTTGTCAGAAACCCAAGATCAATTCAGCTGAGGTGCTACAGCAGGTTGGTGTTTTAACTTTATTTTTACAATTTGCTATCACCATATTTTTAGCATTTTAATTTATTTTTTGTTGAACTTTGAGATTATAGCTCACATGCAGAGTGTGCCATTAACCCCCCTTCTTATCATGGTGTAAATCTGCTCACCCAAGTCTGTAAAACCGTAGCAGTGTAGGGCTGGAAATCTGACTCTGTTTCTAAATAAGAGTTTTCATATTGTAGCAAGAGAAAGAGTAACAGTAACATGTTTCATGAAATAGATCAAATTTATGAAGAATCAACAGAAGGCAATTTTGGAAGGTCTCATCCTTGAAAGTCTGGCTTTGGAAAGAGAACTTGAAGAGTACAAAGAAAATGTAAGCTTTTCCTTATGAGTTCAAGTAGAGGTTGATTGAGGGGGTAAATACGATGCAGAGTAGTGCCCTGAGCAGCATTTCTGCATTGCAGGCATTGGAGCACTCTCCTGAAGATACAAACGGGCTTTTCCTTGAAGTTCCTCCCGAGCTGGTGTCTCTGGAGTGCCCCTACCCTGACCTGCAGGCCCTGGTGCTGGAGGAGTACCAGGAGCTCGCCCGCGGCTACGGGGCCAAGCTCCAGCAGGTGGATCAGCAGCTGGAGGCTTTATCCAGGTACTGCCACACCTGTGCAGGGCTG